CAAAATCGTGGGCACTTAGTATGCACTTTGTCACAATCCACAACACAAAATGAACGTATTTATACACTCTATAGCTCTAAAAACTTTCAAGACACCTTTTTCATATTTAAAATTAACAAAATAATTAACTCAAAATTTCTCAGCTGTTATTTTTATAAGTTTACCATAGGCAACTAATAATACACACTATCATGACAAGGCCACGAAAGCTTTGACAAGGGCTACAATGACGTCACAACTGTCAGCTGAAGCGCGGGAAGAGGCGAACGTACGTCTTATAAGGATGAGCAATCCTATTAGTTTACCGTTCTTGGGTGGAAGCCATTTTTGTACCATTTATTTTTAATAAATCTTAACAATAATTAAAACTATTTAGATTGAAAGAGATATTTCGATTTGCTGTATAAGTTATCTATATCGGGTGTTCCATCGTCGAACGGGACATAGGAAATCCCATGTAAATTTTAATGGGGTCAATTATTGGCTTCCCTGATTATTTTAGAGAATAATTCTATTTAGGTTTATTGAAGAGCACTAAAACCCACATTCAAAAGAATAACTTTAGATATTTTTGATTATCCCGTTTACGAGTTATCGCCGATTTCTTTTTAAATATTTCTCCTTTCTTATGGCCCTGTATTTACTTATGAACACCAGTCAAGGTAAAATATAACTGTCAAATGAAGTTGTCATTTCAGAACTTTATCTATTTAGTGCTTTATTATTATTATTGAAAACTCATACCTACATCGAAAATATTAGCCATGAATTACAGTACCGAAGAAAAAGTATTGATGATTAAATGGTATTATCAAGGAAATAGTTATCAACAGGTGTCGGACATGTTTGCTGCTCTGTATGCGAATAGACCGATACCTGGAAAATCTATAACCGTAAGGAATATCCAGAGATTTGAGACCAAAGGTACCCTAATAAATAACTGCAGATGTGAAGCAAGGCAAGAACAAAGAGAAGATGCAAGAAATGATACCGACATGGAAGTTTTATTGTGCGTGGAAGAGAACGATGGAAAGATCAGCACAAGGAAACTTGAGGATGAAATAGGAATAGATTACACTACAGCGTTTCGAATTTTGAAACGACATAAATACTATTCCTTCAAATATGAAAAGCACCAAGAGCTACGAGATGGGGACGAAATACGGCGGCATGCGGCAGGCGTTTTGAATTGATATGATGGAAAGAGCAAACACGGATAGGGAATTTTTAAAAAACATATGTTTCATTGACGAAGGCACGTTTACCTTAAATAATGAACCCAATGTTCAAAATTATCGATATTGGAACAAAGAAAACCAACACAGGTTTGTCGAAACAAGGACGCAATATTCACAGAAACTAAATGTTTGGGCAGGGATATTCGGACACAATATTATCGGGCCATTATTTCTTACGCGAAATTTGCAGAATATTATTTGGAACTACTCGAAAATCATATTTTACCTGCTTTACATGATGCCGCTAGGGAAAATCAGGAAGTTTGGTACCAAATGAAAAAAAAGTACCCTGGTTGTTCGGGAATATTTAGACAATAGTTTTAACGGAAACGTTATTGGCCTAAATCATACAGTAAATTGGCCAGCAAGGTCTCCTGATATTTCGTCAAATGATTTATTTCTCTGGGGCCATTTAAAAAACAGGATATTCAAGGATAAAAAATACCCAAATCTAGACGAGTTAAAAAATGCTATTTCTGCCGAATGCAATAGAATTTCAGTTTACCAACTAGCGAATGTAAGAAGAGAATTTTATGATTGCCTGGGTTATTGTCTTGCAGTCGATGGAGGAATATTTGAACATCTTCTTAAATCCTAAAGTTCTAACAATTTAATAGTACCTAAATTAATAAGTTATTGAATTTTGTAATAATACTATAATTAACCTTGTAATTGATTACTTTAATTCATATTAATTTGTATTTATAAATACATCTTTAAGATTTCCGATGTAGGAATGAGTTTTCAATAATAATAAAGCACTAAATAGGTAAATTTCTGAAATGACAACTTCATTTGACAGTTATCTTTTACCTTGACTGGTGTTCATAAGTAAATACAGGGCCATAAGAAAGGAGAAATATTTAAAAAGAAATCGGCGATAACTCGTAAACGAGCTAATCAAAAATATCTAAAGTTATTCTTTTGAATGTGGGTTTTAGTGCTCTTCGATAAACCTAAATAGAATTATTCTCTAAAATAATTAGGGAAGCCAATAATTGACCCCATTAAAATTTACATGGGATTTTCTATGTCCCGTCCGACGATGCAACACCTGGTATATCTTTCCTATAAAATCCGGTATTTTAACATATTTTTGTTTTTATGAATAGTTCAATCTTAGCACCATTTTATAGTACCCGTTTATTCTTTAATTTTATCTCAATTTTTTAAAAAATATATCAGATCTAACATTTCAGATTCAGAGTAATAAAACAATGAAGTTAAAAGGAATCTTTTTTAACACTACTTTAATATACTTGTTGACATACTAGTATTTTTCTATATTTTAGTTTTGATTCTTGAATTACTATTTCTTGATATTCTTGTTCATAATAAGTTAAATAATTTATTTTTAGTTAAGCAGATTCATGGTCGAGCACACTAATAAGTGTGTCACTGTTAGTGATGGGCAAAACTGTTATTTTTAGATAACAGTTGAAACTGTTATAGTTATTTATAAAAAACAGCTTAAAATAACAGCTTAAAAATAACAGGTTTCTTTATTTTATTGCTAAATATCTGAAAGAATATGAGGCGGTCACCGCCAGGCGTATTAACGCAGTTGCAGACGTGCTCGGTGGTAGTATTTCCAGGGTGTCATAACATTTCTAAATATCGATTGTTATCTAAAATACCTCTCTAAAAACGGGGGTTGTTTACAAATAAGCGCTGTTTACAAATTGCGATATAAAAAAGCCAAAATGCCGCCACTCGTCTATATCTATAAATTCCGATCTACCTACGCCCTACCCCTCGATCCGCGTAGATTCTGAATTGCGTAGCAGTGTACAGGGTGCATCTCACTCGACGGGCGAGAAGCTCTTCGTTATGATTTTACCATTTGCGGTCAAAAAATAGCAATATAAGAAAATGTGTAGTATATTCTTCATAAGTAAACCAACTACACACTAGAGTTCGAATTAATTTTACACTTAAACTAGCATGTACAGTTTGACAAATATAGGAAGAGACTTGGGGATAGCACCGGTCGCGCACACGATAGAGAGAGAACGCATTCGGCGGAAGAGAGATGCAGTTACGCTACGAAAAATCTGATTGAAGCAAATTTGTGGGATGTCCACTGCGCATCGGGGGGCGTCTCTTATTTTATATTTCTCACGTCTCTAGCTATACTTGTTAAGTTGTACCCGCGACTTCGTTCGCATCGAATTATTAATTTGTAATGGTGATGATAAAGCAAAGCAAGAATTTCCATTAACATACAAACTGGATAAAATTTTCTCACATTTGCCAAAAATATGCTTTAAACGTCGAGCAGTTTAAGCAGAATCGTGGTTAATCAATTACTCAACTTTTTGGAACACCCTGTATTATTTTTTAAAAAATTTCAAAATATGTAAAAAAACAAAATAAATTATGCGTGTCCAATCGTTTTCCCGAAAGACTAACCGTTTTTTAAATAATAAATATTGTAATATTTGAGGGGCGTTTTCACCCTCTTGGAATTTGAGATTCGAGAAACCCCTCCTTATCGCACCTCTACACCCCACAGTCAATCCGTTTACCAAAAATCAGCTTTAAACGTCAAGCAGTTTAAGCAGAATAGTGATTACTCAGTGGTCATATTTTATGAAACACCCTGTATATATTTTGTAAAAATCTCAAAATATGTAAAACAACAAAATAAAATATACGTGTTTAAGAGTTTTTTCGAAAAACTCACCAGTTTTTAAATAAAAAATATTCTAATATTTGAGGGTGGTTTCACCCCCTTAGAATTTGAGTTTCGAAAAATCCCTTCTTATCGCACCTCTACACCCTAAAGTCAATCCGTTTTCCAAAAATCAGCTTTTTACGTCAAGGGCTTTAAGCAGGATCGTGATTAATCAATGACCAGATTTTTCAAAACACCCTGTATACATTTTTAAAAAATCTTAAAATATTATTCTGAAAATTTTTCAGAATAAATAAATACTTAAATATTGAAACTTAATAACAAAGTATTGAAACATACAGCGCCATAATATCTCGACCTCCGCCCGTTATGCTCGTAACAGGTTGAAAAACAATATGTATCTAAAACAACTGATGCGTTATTCTCCAACCTGTTTCAAACCTCCGATTATCTCGAACGCCGTTCTGTTATGCTCGTAACAGGTAAAAAAACAACATAGCTAAAACAACTGATGCGTTATTCTCCAACCCGTTGCGAGCCTCCATCGACAATCGACCGATGCAGCAGCGCTCCTTTCCCACTCCTGTTATCTCGACAGCCAGGCGTTTGCCCGCAACTGTTTCAAAAAAAGCTGCTTCTTTTTATATCCTATTATTTTTAAGCTGTTGTCAGCCCAACACGACGCGCCGCGCCGTAGCGCATACCCCACTCCGTTGTCCGTTGTATCTCGCCGCCTGTATCGATGGTTGTCGAAATAATAGGTTTTCCATCCATACTAGTTGTTTTTTGGAATTGCTTCGAGCAGCATCGAATTTCGTGGCGGTGCAGAGCGCCGACTTCGTGTCACGAACACTCGATCTCTGCGTGTCGTTATTTTATATCTGTTATTTTTTAAAAGCAGTAACGGTTGCGTTATGTTATTTCTAAATAATTGTTATAAAATAACAGATAGTTAAATAACAACCCATCACTAGTCACTGTAGATTCCTACTAATAAGAATATGTACATTTACAAGTTATTGAATGACTCTGTTATCATAAAATTAAAAAAAAACAGAGACAAAACTATAGTTTGAATTTGGTGACTATATCATGAATGATATTTTATTAGAAAAAATACTTACTGCAACTTTTCCTAGCAGATGGCCCCATTGCCATTGCCATACAGAGAGTATACTTTCTCTACCAGCATCAACACCAAGAACATAACTTCCACCATTCTAAAAAACACATAAATCGGATATCATTTGAACCGTAAACTATTCAAAATTTTATAAATATGCTATGCGCTAAAAAGTATTTTTTTTTGTTAATATGTTACTATGGACGTCATTACTGCATCCTTTTGTTCATTTATTACAAACTATTGATAAAAGCTTTTGGAGGATAGAGAAATTATATAAAAAGAGGAACATTCAGCTAAAGTTTTAGGGAAAGCAGCTAACACTAGGAGAGAAAAAAAAACATAAACCAAGGAAGTCTAAGAATAATAAATAACTTTTGAAAAGGAGTTTCATATTTTTAGTTAGTTTGTATATTTAAATTTGATTTAAAACATAATAAAGACTAGAAATATAAATAAGCATACAACTAAGTCGTACCGAAAGTATTGAAAGTAAGAAATAAACGAAAAAAACTTTTATTCAAAATAAATCTAAACTACAACAAAATAATTTTTTTATTCAATATATTAATTGCAAAAGGTTGCAATGCGTTGCACTGTTGCGAGGAAGATTTTATTTGAGCTATCTAATTTTAAATTAAGATTGGTATTGTTTATTTGGATTTTAAATTAAACATAATCTTACCAAATTTGAAAAAGCAACTGCCGCTACTCCCACTTCAAATTCTCCCATTCCAAAAACATACAGTGTCTGTAACGTTTCTGTGCTCCATATTCTAATATGAGCTTGAGTCTTCCTATTTCTACCAGCTCGTTGACCCGATGCTACCATTTCTCGCGATGGATGTAGATCCATACTAAAACACGTTATTAATATACACGGTGTTGAAATAAATAGTTCATACACATACCATTGAATGTCTTCGGTATGTCCGGTATAATGCCTTTGTGTTTCTTCGTCTCTGTCGAACATGACAGCAATAGCTGCCACGTAATACAACAGTTCTCCTGTGGGAAGTACCCAGAGATTTTTTCTGGAATCTGTACCTCGATATCCATAACTATGATTCAGATGTTAAAGAAAATGTTTTAAAAAAAATAAAAATATTTTAATCATTTATGTTTTAATATATTACATTATTCATACATATATCACATTACAATCTATCTTTTGAATGTTTAAATATATTTATTAATTGTAAAACATTGTCCTATTCAAATTAAAGGTAAATAATAAAATTTTCATTTCATTCTATAAAATAAAAAATCGTTATTATTTTTTACAATAATATTTATTTTTTATACAAGACGATAAAATTGTATTCGTCGACCGAAAAGATTAATTCACGGGCGATGAAATCGCGAGTGAATTAATTTTTTTCCATAGCGAGTTACGTTTTAAAAAATATTCAGAAATTATTATTTCAAGGAACTTATTACGAGTAGAAAAAAATATTGTGCTGGGTTGGCGTTGGTTTCTATGTATTTTGACAAATAAACACAAAACATCCCCCTTTAGAACTTCGTCTGTCATGTTAAGAAATGAAAGTAAATAATAAAGCGCCTCTCGTGTTTATTCGCACACTAAAAATTTCAATTATTGCCTGTATATATTTTTTATATTTACATTTTTTTAATTGTAAAGTAATATATTACATTTGAATGGAATATATTACATAACAATTATGCCAATAACAGGATTACAAGCTTGTTTTCTAACATTTTTTAAATAAAACGAATTATAAAATTTCAATATAATGTATATTTGTCTTAGGTATGAAAAAAGTAAAATATAAAATGGACAAACGCTTACTTACATTGCAATAAAACTTCCACTTTTAGTTTTGCAATCCAAACGCAATTATTTCTATTTCACAAGTAAAAATATCCGACAACACTAAAATCACTGAAACTTCCGCGGCTCAACGAAAACTGAAAAATATAACGGCACTTTTTGTTTTGGACCTGCATATCAACATTACGCGGTACCATTATGTTTTTGTTTTTGAAATAATATAAAATATCTAATTATAACTTGTAAATTTTAATATTTTAACATGATTTTAACTATTTCTGACAATAACTAACTTTTTGTTTTCAAGACATTTCGCTTGCCTAGAGTTACACAGTTGTAAGCGCCACTTTTTTTAAAAATGAGATTTTGGGATTATAAAGTTGTATGTGCATGTGTCTATCTATACCTGGTATAACAAAGTCGTATGTTGAAATGTTCAGGGTTAGACAACCAGCAATACATAAGTGTATGTATTTAAACATATAAAATAATAGCACAAAGTTGTATGTGCCACATACAATTTTGTCACACTGAAAATTTCTGGGATAAGTACCTACATGAGTTACATAGTTGTATGTGTGTTTTCAACTTTTTCAATAGTTAGGTTATGTTATAGTTTCATTTGCCGAAGCATACGTGATTGAAGGGTGAATCAGTAGTAGTTTAAAGATGGATAGTTTCTCAGATAGTGAGGATGATCTCAAAACAATTCAAATGCGAGAGAAACGTCGACTTCAACAAGACACGTGAGTTTTTTTCAAATCTATAGAATCAGGGTATTATAAGATAATATTATTTTAGAATGGGAGAGAGCTCACAAAATGCTAGATTATTTGACTGCAGTGATGATTCTGATGTAGACAAGGAATATCTTCCAGATTCATCGCCAGACACTAGCAGGTTTGTTATTTTGAATATCATCATCAATCTTTATTTTTTTATTTAATTTATGTGTTTGTAGCTCAGACCAAGAAATTATGGAAGGAAGGGGCCATATTATCACAGCAGAAGATGGTGAACGTGAAACCAAGGGGAAGAAAAATGTTCGAAAAAGGACAAGGAATCCAAAGTCTTGGGCGTGCAATGTGAGTAAAAAAGCTCATGATGAAGGAAAAGAGTACATGTCTGTACGAAAAAAACTAGTTCCTGCAAAAGGCGTGCTGACCAAAAAGAACTGTTTAACTAGTTGCGTTCACGGATGCCAAAAATTTATTTCTGATCAAGAGAGAAACATCATATTTCAAAACTATTATACCCTTGATGAACAGGCAAAGAAATTATTTTTGCTCACCACTTTCCAAAAATTTTTGGTAGAGAGGCATAGAAAAGGAAAAAATGCACAAAACAGTCGCCGGAAAAATACTTTTCGCTATTATTTTAACGTCTCGGATCAAAGGATTGAGGTGTGCAAGCTATTTTATCTGGGGACGTTATGTATTAGTCAGACTCCAATATATAATGTACATTTAGGAAAGGACATCGTGTCGAACACACCTAAAGAGAGCAGGCAAGGAAGACATGTGAAACACAGTATCAATGATGATGACAAAACATTTCTTAAAAGGCACATCGAAAGTTTCCCCAAAGTGGAATCTCACTACTGCCGGGCAAATAGTAGTAGAGAGTACCTAGAATCAAACCTTAGCATTGCAAAAATGTATTCGCTCTATGTGGATCTCTGCAAGTCAGAAAATAAGCAACCTGTTAAGGAGTCATTTTATAGGCATGTTTTTAGCAACGAATATAATCTTTTTTTCCATACACCAAAGAAGGACAGATGTGACTTGTGTGAGGAAGTAAAGCTACAAATAATAGAGAACAGACTATCCACTGAGAAAAATGAAGAGTATTCAAGACATTCCATAGAAAAGGGAGCATGCAGAAATGAAAAAAATACTGACAAGGAAGATGAAAACACTGTTATTTTATGTTTTGACTTACAAAATGTTCTGTCATGTCCTCGAGCAGAAATCAGTAGTTTTACTGTAGGAGAAGTTTAATGTATATAATCTAACAGCTATCCTGTCAAGTACAAAGAAAGTATACTGTGCTGTTTGGCACGAAATGTTTATGGGACGAAGTGGCAATGACATTGCCAGTGCTGTGGTAACAATCTTGGAAAGGGTATTTGATGACAATCCAAATCTCACCAACTTAGTATTGTGGAGTGATAGTTGTGTTCCACAAAACAGAAACTCTTTGATGTCCTACGCAGTATCATATTTTTTACAAGAGCACCCTAACTTAGGCATCATTACCATGAAGTTTTCAACACCTGGGCATTCTTGTGTCCAGGAGATAGATAGTGTCCATAGTGCCATTGAACGAGTCCTTAAAAAAAGTGAGTACCTTTCTCCAGTGTCATTGATACGACTTCTCTTGAAAGTCAACCTCAGAAAACCATACTGTATAATTCAGATGAAGGCTCGCCATTTTAAAGACTTTAAGGCATGTACAGGGTTACTTGATTATAAGAAAGTTCCGTATTCCAAAGTTAAATGCTTGAAATTTACTCAATCCTTTTTTGAATTGGAATACAAAACTTCCTACATAGATAAAAACTGGACCAAAATCAATCTAAAGTCTTCTGTTCGTACGAGGACAGCTAGTGTATCAATTGTACCAACTCCAAAACCTGCAGATGTAAAAAACTCTATATCTGCAGAGAAAATATCTGCCATCAAAGCAATGATGAACCATATGCCCGAAGTTGATAGGCAATATTACACTACCATTTTGAAGCTGTGAACTTAAATAGTAGTAACTGAACTGTTTTAACTGCTCAATTTTATTAGGTTAATGATGTTATGTTATGTTTTCTACTGTTCCTAGTTTTTTTTTTAACTTAGTTGTATGTACCAATAAATACCTTTTCCTATGGTATCTAGAGTAACCAAATTGTATGTTACTTTTTTAATATACGATATTTTCATTAAAAACCGCTTTTTCTTTGTTTTGTCTGTTAAATACACATATTGGTGATCAGACTAAAGCAGGAATTTGGTAACATGATTATTTCCAAATCATATGTGCCTAGTCGAGACACCCCAAATTTCAAATGCCTCTCCTGAACAATTTACCCCAGTGTACATACAACTGTGTAACTCTGGGCAAGCGATTTGTTGACATACATAAATACATATATGTCATAATATTTAAATTTTTAATATGTATGTAATATAATTTAAGTTAATATAATGCAACTTTATACTAAGAAAACATTTATACATTCACAAAATACAACAAAGTCTAATAATAGTTATAGTTTGAAAACAATGAATATTGAATTAAAATTAAAATAAAAATTAAAAAAGTGAAGCGCGACCCCTTGTATCGAAATTAGATGATTAAATTTTCGCAATTTTTACACCATTTGATGACCGGTGGCGCCTCTAGTGTTTGTTCGGGCGGTTGGTCTTTTACTCCCGCTTATGACCATTAAAGAAAAAGTTCTAAAGGGGGATGTTTTGTGGAAATAAATAAAGCTGTCTCTTTAGTTGTCAGTTTTGAGTCAATATTTTTTAATTCTCTTTCGTGTCGATTGCTGTTTGAATTGGAGCCAGAAATGGCTCAAAACCTTATTCAAAGCTCAAAACGAAATAAGTAAATTACCAACAGCTGCCAACAGATATTCACGCTGAGATGACAAACGCCATATCCAAACTACTTCCATTTAAATCCCGAATAACTTATAAAAAGGAATACAAAAATTTTCAAAAATGGAAGCAATTAAAAAACGTGCGAGAAGAAATAAAGTTTTTAACCTATCCTCGCTGTTAAAGTATCATTTAATCTACCCTTGCGGTTAAAGTACTATTTTATCTACTATTTTTGATAGATATAAGGAATTTTAACAATTGCTATGGAAAAAATAAATATATTATTGCTGATCACGTGACATTAGTCTATGTTGCTCATTCATATAATAGCTTAATTGGATTTCTTATTAAAAAATTATAGAATAAATCATAAAACTACTTACTTATTATTCTTAATACTTTACTCATTCATTACCTAAAACTAATGTTAATAGTTCAGAAGTGTTTTATTACCAAAAATGCAAAATTTGACATTTTAACGGTCTCGTATTAATGGAAAAATAAAGAACTTAGGTATATTATCATATCGACCTCCAGTTTTCATATTAAAGCAAGGCCCAGAAATTAACCTTGCCGTTCACAAATTGCCTCAATATCCCTTTCATTTGCATGAATGAAAATGTATGATAATGTTTTAATTGTTTTTCTTTTTATAAGTATTTTTAAATATTGTCTGAATTTTATTTCAAGTAGAAATAAAGTATGTAAAAAAGGATACACCCATTCTAGTAGCATTTTCTTTTCTGGAGGGGCGTTGTCCATAGGAGCATGATGAATTGGTGGATAGAATGTTCTTCGGAGGCCTTTGATTGTAACTCTAACTGGTTCTTCTTTTAAAACTTCTAATAATGTGTAATCTGAAATATTAGCAATATCAATATCAAGGTAGTTTCTACAGGGTGTTTCAAAACAAATGCGAAAAACTTCAGGGGGTGAATCCTTGTTCAAAATAAAGGGTAGTTTGCCTTATAAACGTTGGGTCAAAAGTCAACCATTAGGGAGATATCGCGGTACAAAGATGGCGGAAAAAAAAGTTTTTATTTTTATCTTGAAAACGAAAAGCGATAGACTAATGAAATTTAGCATTACTGTTATGAAAACACACTTTCTGATAATTTTCTCACTTTTTTAAAATGAGTGAAAGGGGTTGAAATAAACTACCCCTATCATTCTTGTTAACGAAATATAAAGAAAAATCTTATCAAACACATGCAAAAAAAATAATTTGGATAGTTTGGTTTGTTTAAAAACTTTTTTATCTCTTGCGTTTATTTGATAAAACTCACCGATTTGAAATTAAAAAATAAAATGTAAAGCATTATATGTCAGGACAAAAAACATTTTTAGATAAAGAATCTAGTGAGCTGCTGTCAAACAGTTTTATTTCGTAATAATATCGTTACATTTTCTTCTGAACGATAACCTCTTAAAAATTATTTACCAAGACAATTTTCAATTCTGTATTTTAATTCATGAAAGTACAAAATAATATCGTTAAAAAAATAATGTTTAAACCATGCAACTCAAATAACAGGGTGGTCCGAAATGTGTTTCGGAAACTTCGGTGGTACCGTATGATCGAATAAAAACGGCGTCAGCGATGGCTATGAAATGAAGGTCGCTGTCATTTTAAATGTAAAATTATATGGGAAATGTCATCGATCGTCATTTCCAAGCCAACTGGACGCCATTTTTTTTCGATCATACGGTATATTCTGCAGATAAAAATAAGTAAAAAAGTTTGTATAATAATTAAACACATCTAATTGGCGCCTCCTGCAAATAGGAGTTATATTGACATAAAAATCAAATTTCTCATGTCAAAAAACTCACCCCAGACATCAATTTTCATCTAAATATTGACGTTACTTCAAAAATTATTTGGAAAAACACAACATATTTGAAGCTTCATTTTAAATCAATGTACTTAAATTCTGGTTAGATGATTACAGTTTCATGAGGTAGTGACACATTTTTGAAAAAGAATCTGGAAAAACTTTTTTCTCTAAATAGTTCCCTTCCAATATTTCAAATATCTGAAGTACCATAATATATTATATACAGTATGTTTTTAAAAAGTTTATATTTACAACAAAAACACGACAAAATACGACATTTAAAAAAAAATTACGACAAAATAAAAGTTCAAAAACACCAACATTATAGCAGGAATTGTTTATCAATATTGTATATTGAAAAATTTCAATTGAATTTAAGGAATATTTTGAGATATATGATATATTCCATACCATTTGTTCTAACAATTTCACTCTCCGGCGCGTACAAAGCTCTAGGTCTACTTTTACTCCTAGCTCTTTGCTGTTTACTCATGTCCTCTACAATGGCAGTCTGTTGGGCTCTGGAACGCCCTCTTCTTACGGGTGAAAGCATCACGCCAGGACTGGCAGTAGCAACAGCAACAGCACCAACACTACCAATACCTAAAAAGAATAAATGACTAATTACAAAGCTTCGCTAGAATTACATTTTCATAAACAAGCAAAATTAAAATTGGAATATAAAATAATGAAAATAATGTTAAAATAATTAAAAAAGTGTATCAACATGTCAATTTCCAAAACACTGTGCGTTCGATAATATCTATAGTACGACGAAGATTTATTTATTATATCACATAAATAGTTTGTTAGCTGTGACATTTTCTGAACTCTAGTAACTGAATACTGAACATTGTTGATCAACTTGGTTAGTTTAAAAGTTATGGCAAAAGTTAGTCTTAGAGAAAGAGCTGGCATTTACCCTAGAAAATTTAGAAAAGCAAAAAAGATACCAAGCAATAATACTATAATATACCAAAATACTTTATGTTATGCTCTCTATTCCATGGCAGATTGTCACCTGTTCATAATTTATCAGAATATGATTTACCAGCTTTTGAAATATTATTATATAAGATCGTTAAAAAATCACTTTTAAATTAAATGCTCTATTATTTCAACAATCTTTTAAAAGTCAGTTTTTTTCATTAAGTATGTATTCTTTAAATTTGTCATTGTAATTTAATAATATTAAGTATAATGTTATGGCTACGCAAACCTTGCAATTATTTTAAATGTACTACTTTATATATAACTAATTTTGGGCTATTATCCTACATTTTTAATTGAGTTCTTATGGTCTAAATTTATTCTAAATTTTTCTATAACTGGTGTTATTGATTTTTTTTGCATGAAAGGTGGATGTTCTGGTTTAAAATATTATATTTCAGATTAATTGAGAGAAATAATGGTATATGCAGTACAGGATTTACAGTATCTTTATTTATTGAATAAATTTTATTCAAGAACAAGTTCGCACAAAAACTAAAAAAAAGCACCATAAAATGTTGTCACCCTATTATTTAAACCCTAATTACTCCTATTAATAAATAATATTAACCTAATGAAATGAGGTTAATATTTCAAATTTACTATATTTGGAAATAGATTTGATATTAATACCCTTAATAATAACATAATTATTAATAACTTACCTAAATAAAATGTGTCCTCGTCGGCAAATTCGTTTCTCAGCTGCGAAAAACTTCTCACTTCTTGTCCAGAGACCGTAAACATTTTCTTAGCCCCGTTCATTTTCAGTACTTGTCCTAAATCCTCTAGAACTTCTTCGAACGGTTGCGAGGTCCTCAAGTTTAGAAGCACGCGACACTGTAAGTATTAACAAATTTTTAACAAAATGTTTAGTGTTTTTATTCAGATAAAGTGTTTTTGTTAAACAGCTGCTACACTATCCCCGAAATGCTTTACGAAATATTTCTGGAAATATTTCGTGAAACATTTCGCAAAATATTTCTGAAAATAGTACGATAAATATAAGCCTGTGTTATAAAAATTAGTTCCCACGTTTCCTGAAATTCATCGAGACGCGCCGTGATTGGTTGTTTGTTTTTTATTGTTAATCTGGGTTGAATGGATTTATATGAAACCATGCTGGGTGCCAATAAAAGTGTCATTTACAGATTTCTCTTAAGAACAATAAAAGAACATTGCTTTTAAATAATGTCCGTGGACCATACTTTTGTTGACATCGGGTCAATTAATAATTTCCCAAACGGATATATTGATAATGTTACCAGTATCGAAGAACATTGTTTTTAAATAATATCCGTAGACCATACTTTTGTTGATATCGGGTCAATTAATAATTTCCCAAGCAGATATATTGATAATGTTACCAGTATTAGTCATCAAGCAATACTACTCTTATATTAATCAATAAAGGCCGTAAACAAACATATCATATACAATTTTATATACTAATTCATTATAATAAATTTAATTTAAAAAATTAAATTAAATATATAAATTTAAATAAGTTTTGTTCCTGAATATCTACTATGCATAGAATAATACTGTGATATATATATATATATATATATATATATATATATATATATATATATATATATATATATATATATATATATATATATATATATATATATATATATATATATATATATATATATATATCGATATAGCATAAAACGAGATGTAATTAACGAAATATCATCGTAACAACAGCTATTTTAGAAACGTCTAGGTTTACTTATTTCACTGAGATTTATGAAAAAAAAATCCTTTGCCTTGGATACAGATACCGCCACGTTTTGGAAACAGCACAAAACAAAACAAAATTGAAAGAGGTAACAAAAAACGCCAATCCCCCACGAGTAGTTTTCAGGCGCTTTTAAGAATCGAAAGTAAGTCGAGGCAAACCGAAGTGTGTCAAGACAACTGGAAATAAATCGAAATGCGTCAAAGTTGGGCGACGAAATGCGACCTTGACATGTTTCGCATTGTTTCTTGCATAGTGTGTACGCTGTTTTACACTTGGCTGGACGCACAGAAATAAAAAAAACTGTTTTAGTCAAAATCAATTTTGTCAGATTAACTTTAGCAGCAAAAAGGAGACTAATTTAAAATAGTTTTTTTATTCGAAGCTTGAATTATACAGATAATACTTAGATACACAGTGTAATTTTTCAAAAATATTTTTCTTTTTATATGTTGTGTTTTTGTAGCGATATACTTAGATTTTGCAACACTGCGAGTATTTACAAAAGAAATAAAAACAAAACCGTATACATCGTTGCCGCAGGTAATAGGTGTTACAAGAAGAAAGTCCTCAAACGCGATTTGAATTGCAAATCAGATTCCTGGCGAAATGAAATTATAAACACGTACTCCGAGTCGCATAAATATAATATCAAGTTTATAAGAGTGTATAAAGTAGGGTATAAAGAAATAATCTGATGTATGCGGTTTATTTTCTTTTGTGTATAATGAGCTGTACAATTAAGGCGAATAATTTACATGTTCCATATTCCTTTTTTTGTAATTATTTTATTCCATTTTTTTCTCAGCGTTTGTTTTGTATTATATTTGTTTTATACATTGATAAAACACAACTTTATATTTCATAACCTATAAATAGTTAATTCTAAAGGTACATTCAGGCTGAGAGCGCCGAGCATCGCGTCGCGTTTGCGTCGCGTCCGCGTGTCGAAATGGAATCAATTCACTTAACTTAAATTAGACCGTTCATGCAGACAGCCAGCGTCGCGTTTGGCGTTGCGCTAGCGCCCGCTGAGCGTCGGGGTTCGAGTTCAATGGGTCGGACGCGACGCAAATGCGACGCGACGCTCGACGCTCTCAGCCTGAATGTATCTTAAGTGAATTTCATTAATGATCGGCTTACTACATGTAACGTATATTATATAGTCACTTATCAGTGAAAAGTTCCTCTATTATTTTCCTCGATTTTTGACCGAGATCTACCGCACGCTGTACAACCAACTATTTTAGTGTTTTTCGATAAATCGCAATAGTGTCACTGTTAATTTAAGTTATGACACACTTGGGACGCCTGCGGCTCGTGTCATAAACTTCATCCACGTGAATAACAGCCATTATATGCGAGTAGAACACTATACTTTATCCAGGACTATCAAAAAAATTAGATAATATTAATATAAGTTTTTATTTTTAATGTCAAAAAAATATTGAACGAGTATAACGAGTAAAGCTCGATTTTCATGAATCCGTTGTCCGACGATACGATATTGATTTTATTGGTTGAATTTCGAAAGACTTCGATTGGATAATCTTTTCTAACAAATTGAAGTCTTTAAAGTCAACCAATAAAATTAATATCGGACCATCGTATCAACGGGGTTTTTAACAGGACACTGTCTCCTCAATGAACACCTCAGTAGATTGAAACTAAGAAGAAACGGCGAATGCAGATTCTGTGGGGAAGATGGGGAAACACCAGTACACCTCATCACTGAGTGCGCCGAGACGACAACCATTCGTGCCATGAATTTTGGTACGACTGATATTGGAGATGGAGAACTACCCTCTATAAAACCGTCCCAGATACTGGCTTTTGTCAAAGCCCTGGGACTGTATGATGAGTTATGATTCAAGAAAGGGGGACACAATGGATCTGTAAGGTCGAAGTGATTAACCCCCCTCCCACTCATTCTAAAAATTCTAAATCGTATCAACGGATAACGGATGCATGAAAATCAAGCTTAAGTGGAAACATGGAAACAAAAAATTGAAATTTTCTTTAAGGAGGTAGCTAACTAATTTAGCTTTAACTAATTAAAACAAAACTAAGCCGGTTTGGATCGAGCACAGCTCTTGTTTGGAGTTTGGATCGAGATATCCGTGGAAGCGGTGAATAATGAATATTATTATTATTTCATAAACTCATGTATAATAATCAAATTATAGACGAGTCGTGGATAAAGATTATTTTATTATATCTTATGCTTAGCTGAGAATGCTTATTCTATGGTTTTAAGTTTTAATCATATAGAGTTTTACTCTAACTGTAGCTATACTTTTTGTACTAAATTATTAGCTGTCCACATTGTCGACGTTGACATCAACAATTTAATTGTCGACGTGGCATTCTCAACGTCGCCCAACCCTGTGATTAAAACTAATCTTTCTAACCTTATCATAACATTCTTTAAGTTTTATTAAAGTACTAGTAGTAGAGTTGTTTATTTTTTTCCAAACTAAAGAACATTTTCACTTATTATTGTACTATTATTGCCTAATTAATACAAAAAATAGTAAAGTGACAATAATATACAATAAAATTATGAAAAATATTTGAAAAAAGTTAAAAAGTAGGTATATTTATATTACAATCTGACAACCACGTTGTCTAAAATATAAGCACGTTATAATGGTATGAAGTTGTTTTCAATATGTAAGGAATATACCGTATGATCGAAAAAAAAACGTCAGCGATGGCTATGAAATCAAGATCGCTGTCATTTTATATGTAAAATTATATGGGGAATGTTATAGATGCTCATTTCCAAGCCAACTGGACGCCGTTTTTCTCGATCATACGGTATTTTCTTTTTCATAGGAACTGTATTGCCATGAAAACGCAAAAATATCGCAGATGCAAAAAAACGCAACGGAATATTTTTTCGTCAAATTTATGGTATTATATTTTTTATTTTTAGCTTTATTTTTATGAATTTTTTAGTTGTGTAGCAACTGTATATCAACTTTAATTAGTAAACTCAGTTTTTTTTATAAATTTTAGTATTATACAGCTTATTATACAGGGTTAATCGAAGGGTTGTTTTTTACAATAACTTTAAAACAATCTGTGCAATAATTTCTTGAGCAAATTTTCCTAAAATATTATTTTTCGGTTAGAACCATGTCTCCTGAGCATTTTGTTTTTTGGATCATGTTAATACATGCCTTAGTTAATTTGTAAGAGTGAAATAAACTTGCCACGACCAATTTGCAATTTTTTCAATTATCATTTGATGATATTTTTCAATATGACGAGGTGACTTTGGTAATTATTGTGAATTATATAGCACTTTGAACTGCCAAGCATCTTTAAAAAATCTTTAAATCTGACGAAAAATTGTTTCGTTGCGTTTTTTACATCTGAGTGTAGTTTCACCTTAAGGGTAAATCCGACGGTTACATTATATAAAAATGTCCTATTTACAAATATTAACATACAAAAAATTATATTTTTCAACACCCCAGATAAGGTATTTTTTGTTAACACGGCAGTATAGATGTCCGATGCACTATAGCAGAACACTGTATATTATGTTTTAATAGAATGAATAAATTGTTATAGTTTTTTTTTTGTTAAACCAAATAATAAATTAATACATTCTCGATTAGTATTTTTCTGGTATTTTGCCGAATTTTCTTCGGACTTTCGTCCGTTAGGGAACATTACAGAAATATGAATAATTTATAAGGGCCAAGTTTATAGACACGCATCGTACACAGCACGTTGCGTTCTAGCCCACAGCTCCGACTTGCCTGAATAGTTTTTAAACGGAATGGCCTTAATAAAGGTCCGAAGGCTTTTTCGAAATTACGTTTCTATATGGCAGCTAGCGCGAGATATTAGAGAAAAATGTATGCCATATGCATATTAAAATCATGCAACGCCTATATCGCACGTACTGAAAGGATTATTTCTGGTCTAAATGCATGAAGATATTAATATTTTTACCGGTTCGAAAATTAACATGTTTAAATATACCATGTTATGATCAATAAGTTGAGTAAATCAGGTCGCTCACGCAAAAATTCTGGATTTCAAAATAGTAAAATATATATATAAAAATATTTACTCATACCTACTATTTGGTGTCTCAAAAATTAATAATTATAAGAAAATGCTGAAATTATGAAATTATTTGATTGTATACGATTTCTCAGAACTTACGACTGAGAAAAATGAAAGATTTTCCTTCATTTAAGTAAGAACAATCTTCGAATACCGAATATGGAAGAAGAACCAACACAATCTTGGACAAAGATAATGGACATTGTATCAAATTCAATGCAAAACAGGTTAGGATATGAAGCAAAAAACAAAAAGCAAAGATGGATGACGGATGAGATATTGTTGTTAATGGATGAACGTCGAAAGTAAAAGAACAAAACAGATGGCATGTACAAAGATATTCAAAGACTCATAAGAACAAAGATTAGAATAGCAAAGAACGAATGGCTTAAACGTGAATGTTCAGAATTAGAACAGCTGCAAAATCAACATGACAATTTTAATCTGCATAAAAAGCTGAAGGAGACTGCTGGCATATATAAAAAAATGAGATCAACTGTGACAGTCAATAATAACAACCAGATTGTCCTCGAAAGCATAGAAAAGAACAATGTTTGGGAAAAGTATATAGAAGAACTTTTTGACGATGAAAGACCCTCAACTGATATCAATAACTCACTAACCGGCCCATCGATCACTAAAGATGAGATTGAAAAAGCCATACTTAATTCGAAAAATAACAAAGCGGCTGGGCCAGATGAAATTCCTGCAGAAATACTTAAGCAGAAATACTTAATTCAATATTATATATGAGACAGGTCACTACCCCAAACAGTGGTTGCGTTCTACTTTTATACCCCTGCCTAAGAAGACCAATGCCAGAAAGTTTGAAGATCACAGACTTATCAGCCTGATGAGCCATACCCTAAAAATATTTTTGAAAATAATACACCAGAGAATTTACAAAAAATGTGAAAGGGACATGAGCGATTCGCAAATGGGGTTCAGACAAGGGTTAAGGCACCAGGGAAGCGATAGTTGCAACACAGGTGCTTGTCCAGAACTGCTACGATCAGAGAAAGGATGTGTGCCTGTGTTTCATAGACTACGAAAAGGCATTCGATCGCGTACAGCACCACAAATTAATGCAGCTCCTGGAAAGACTTGATATAGATCATAAAGACATCCAATGCATTGAGAAGTTATACTGGAACCAAACAGCACAAATAAAATTGTCCAATACCATGTCCAATCCCATACAAGTTAGAAGGGGGGTGCGACAGGGTTGCGTGCTGTCTCCACTCCTATTTAATTTATACTCAGAAGCTATTTTCAAGAGGTCTGGAGGACGTGGAAATGGGGGTCAAAGTTAATGGAGTGTGGATTAATAATATTCGTTATGCCGACGATACGGTCTTAATTGCAGACAATATACACGACCTACAACAACTGGTCAACAAGGTAGGAGAACAGAGCAAAGCAATGGGTTTAAACATCAACATCAAGAAAACCAAATTTATGATTATATCCAGAAATCCAGATGTGTTTATAAACTCCATCCTAACATTTAACTCAAGGCCCATAGAAAGAGTAGATAAATTTAAGTACTTGGGCATCTGGCTCTCCGAAAATTGGACATCAGACAAGGAAATTAAATGTCGCATCGAACAAGCTCGGCAGGCATTCTTGAGATTTCGAAAAATACTTGTCTGTTCTGATTTTGACCTTAGCCTTAGATTAAGATTCGTAAAGTGTTATGTGTGATCTGTGCTCCTTTATGGTATGGAAGGTTGGACATTGAAAGCAGCTACCATCAACAAATTGGAGGCTTTTGAGATGGGGCCATATCGCAGAATCCTGAAGATACCTTGGACGACTAGATTGACAAATGAGGAAGTTCTCAGAGCGTTGACAAAGAGCGTGAATTATTTGAATTGATTAAAAAGAAAAAGACCGCATACCTGGGACACATAATGCGAAACCCCAAATATCAATTCTTGCATTTGTTGATAGAAGGCAAGATCGAAGGCCGAAGGGGTATCGGAAGGAAGAAAATGTCTTGGCTGAGGAATATCAGACAGTGGACGGGGCTACTCGATGTTCAGTCATTAATACACACCGCCCGGAACAGAGAAGCAATGGAAAATGTTATCGCAAACATCCATTAATGGATTTGCACTAGAAGAAGAAGAAGAATCTTCGGATTGTCACGGGGTTTTTAACAGGTCTCCCCAATGAACACCTCAATAGATTGAAGGTAAGAAACAACGGCAAATGTAGATTCTGTGAGGAAAATGGGAAAATACCAGAATGCCTCATTACTGAGTGCGACGACACGAGATGGAGAAGTAACCGCTGTAAAACCGTCACAGATACTGGTTTTGGACAAAGCCGTGAGTTATGATGAGTTATTAAGAAACTCAAAAAGGGGGCCACTATAGATTTGTAAGGTCGCGGTGATCCTATACATTTTACATGAAATTATAAAAATATGAAAAATGTAATAAAAATATTTATATTTATTACAATTTGGCCACAGTATTAGGGTCAAAAATTATCATATACAGTAAAAAATGTCTATACCTATGTGGCGGATTCATCTTTCGAAAAAAATCCTGTATGGGTATTTCGCCACTGCACTGCAAGAAAATCTACAAAATAAAATAATTATTTTTTGTAAACACTTCTGCGTTAAACCTAAACGGACGCTGCTTGTCAGAAGTTATGTTTACGGTAATATAAATTGTATTAACGTTTCGGAAAGTTATCTGTTTCCGTCGTCGGAAGCAAAAAAATAGAAAGAATACTTTGTATTTTTTTGCTTCCGACGACGGAAACAGATAACTTTCCGAAACGTTAATACAATTTATATTACCGTAAACATAACTTCTGACAAGCAGCGTCCGTTTAGGTTTAACGCAGAAGTGTTTACAAAAAATAATTATTTTATCTTGTAGATTTTCTTGCAGTGCAGTGGCGAAATACGCATACAGGATTTTTTTGGAATCATATACAGTATATCCCCGTATTGTCTTTACAAGAGGAAAAGCTTTTTTTTATTATTGACATTTTGAGAAAAATTGACTTACTGACTCCATAAAAATTTTTGTTTGTTCTAGAATGGTTAATTCCGTTTATACTTTTCCAGATTTTTATACGGTTTTAGAGAAAATTAAGAAAAACATAAAAATATTGTTGAAAATATTGTTGAAGTCTTAAAAATTAAAACGCGTTTCTGTGGTAATATAACTTGGGTTTCATTCTTTGATAGATTGTTATTCATAGAATTTTAATTAACGTCATATTTTTTGTTGTTTTAAAATGTTAAAGAAGCACAAAATTTATTTAGTTCAATACAACGGAAATGGTGATGATAGTTATCGAAAAATCTAGTACTTTAATAGCAGCAAAGAATATGACGTTAATTATAATTATTAATAACCATCTATCAAAGTATGAAATCGGATTGAAATTACTATAGAAACGCCTTTTGATTTTTAGGAGTTGATTTTAAAATTCAACAATATTTTCATATCTTTCTTAACTTTCTCTAAAACGGTATGGAAATTTGGAAAAGTATAAACGGGATTAACCATTTCAGAACAAGCAAAAATTTTTATGGAGAATGCATTTTTTTCAAAATGTCAATAATAAAAAAGTTTTTTCTCTAGTAAATACAAATCCGGGGACATACTGTACAGTCCCAAAAATTGTAATCAATTGAATATTAATAAAAAGTAAAAGGTTCTTGCAGTATCAATATGTAATATTTAAAATAAAGATATTTCTTGCCATATAACTGTTCTTTTTTTAAATATTTAGCTTTAAAAAATAATGAAAATTCAATAATGAAGAACTACAAGGAGACCACCCATTTGTCGATAGGTTTCGGAGTTATACTTCATCATCAGGACGACTTCAGCAGATGTACGGCTGTTAAATGCTTTTCAAATTATATGGGCTACTTTGTGTATGAAATACAAGAAATTATGGTAGTGAGAAGATCTGAATAATTTCAAATGAAGAAGGAGAAATGAGCACAAAGGATTGCTTGCCTGTATGTAACGGGGACCGTAAAATCAGTGGGCAAATTGCAATGGAAGCCCTGATAAATCTACCAATAGTACACACTTTCACACAAGGCGAAGCCAGATCTGCCATATACAGGTTAGTTCAGAATAAACAGGACATAAGCCAGACGCACAGTGCTGGAAATCGAAAACTAACTGAGGATCCAAAAGCAGACAAGGTATTAGGAGTACCGATAGATGCAACAGCCACAAGGTATAGCTTTAACAATAAATTTATTACCCATTCAAGCTGACATGACCTGGTATACAGATGTCTAAAAAATATCAGAAGGCGTAGAAGCTGGAATAGTAGCGCTGAAACAAGGAATATCTTTCCTTGCAAGCCAATCCAAAAATATTATAATTTTACAAGGGAGAAAAATCGCAATCCTTATTAGTGTAGAAGAAAGAAATCTACATAGGTCAATTCTAGACTAGCGTGAGATTGTGTGCGTGCTCTGAATACATTGGGACGCAACAATGTTATGTTAGCTCGAGTATCTGAGCACAAGTATCACAAGGACATAAAAAAGGCAGATGAAATGGCCCTACAAATCTTATTAATCCTATTTATAGACCGATTTAGATGCGCGCTAAGTTTTTAGGCCATTATATGGTCGGCTAGGTTAGCCCTAGCAGTAAAAAGGAGATTTTTACTTAAAGTATTTTACCATTAATTGCAATACTGTACAATAATTATAATGTTACATTTATCATTTCATACATACCTGAACGGTATGGTCCATATTATTAATAATGCGAATGACTCTGCCCGAAGAAGGTTTGATGGTTCCACCTCCTGGTGGAGGGACGTCGGTCTCTACTATGGAGGCTTTCCTGCTGGTAGCTTTGCTCCAACCTTGACCTCCTGGCGCGGCATACCAGATACCATTTTTCTTTCCATAACTAGCAGCCTAAAATTAACAAAATATTTTCAGTTGATAATTGTTAAAAAAAGATTTAAATTAAAATTTTCGATATTTGACACAATAGATGAAAATAAAACAAATTATAGACTTTTTATACGACAGGGATGAAGTGTTAACCAAAGGTGTTAACATTAAATATCATAACTTTTTTTTTGCCGTTTTAGTAATGTCTTTCTTAAAATATATTACACCATAAAGTGTTGTGATTCAATTATTTGTTGCATTCTGATATACTGCAACTAAATCAATACATAATTGAAATCTTCTAGGAATATTAATATTACAATACTAGAGTGGATTTTTATACAAAACATATTGTTTTTTAAAAGTTGAAGCAAAGCAAATTAAAAATTATAATTTGCTTTTGTAGAGGCCTATAAGTAAGTCATCTAAAGAGTAAGTCAACAAACTAGAATGCCATACGATCCAAAAAAAAATTGGCATCAGAGTTGGCTTGGAAATTAAGATCGCTGTCATTTTATATATAAAATTATATAAAGAATGTCATCGATCGTCATTTCCATGTCATCTTAACGCTTATTTTTTGATAATACGATTCGTATTATACGTCAAAAGGGTGTTTTGACGTATTGACGATTTTTTTGTGAATAGTGTAACATTTTAACATAAAAAATAATACAAAACTGCCCAAAACAACAAATTTTCAAATAAACAAAATAAATGAATAGGTCTTTAGGAAGGTGCATGCTGAAAACCTGATCTATAAATTATAGGACAAAGGAACATACACGTTTCGTGGATTCAAAACATTTTCAAATGCTACAATTTTATTAGGCTTGATTCCTTACAATGGGGTCGAGCAGCAGGTCAAATACATAAAGAAAAGAAGAAATGGAACAACAAAATTTCAAAGAAACGAATCATTTGAAATTTTGTTTGCAGATTGAAGATAATTTTTATTGAAAGATAATTCTTATTTTCCTTTTAGCAGGGATTAATAGAACTGAATTATTTTTATTTAAAAAAAAAGAGAAAAAGTGCCTGATAATATAGTGAAAATCATAACAAAGCTAAATATCGATGACACAATTCAAGTAAAAGCAGGGAATAATCTAACACGAGACATACCAACACCAGGAGGCATTACACAAGGAGACAGCCTTAGCCCCGTCTTATTCAATCTTTAAATGGACATCATCATAGAAAAGGTGACCTCGATGAATATCGGTTATCGTATGGGACACAACAGAGTTAGCAGTGGTGTCTTACGCTGATGAGGCTGCCATTATCGTGGAGACAAGAGGACCATATGCAGAGACAGCATAAATTCTATCAAGTAAGCGGAGAATTAAATATGATTATCCTTACGTAAGGTAAGATGCAAACTTGTAGTAGAAAACAAAATTATTGAGCAAGTATCACAGTTTATAGATACCTAGGAATAGATGTGTCGTACTACCATGATCCAGAGAAAGATCTGAGGAGACAAATAAACAGAGAAACGGCTATGTCAGGATGTGTGAGGCAAATAGTGTGGATAAACCCCTTCAGACCAATAATGGGCATAGACATCCGAGAGGAAACAAATAAAACCAAAAGCATGTTAAGGGTCGTTGAAATGAAGAACCTAAGAACCATAATGGGAAAGACTGAAAGAGACGGAATTAGAAACAGAAATATCAGACAACAATGTGGAATACAGGACGTAGTCAGATGGGGTAGGCAAAGAAAAAGACAATGGTTCACACACGTAAAACGCATGGAAGAAAACAGGCTACCACACATAGTTCTTGAAGGAAAACCCATGGGTAAGAGACAGCCGGGAAGACCTCCAAAGATCAAATAGATAGAAAGAGAGTTCCCGCAGTCCATCTCCCAAGAACTCCTACAGAAGCAACCTTAAAACTAACAGACTAGATCTCAAATAAGTAGAAGAAGAATTATTTCATAATAATTTCCATAATTTTACTGCCTCTGATCTACATTTTCTTAAACATTTTTTTACATAAAATATATTTTTTATTAGAACTTCGTAGATATAAGAAGGGAATAGATTAAAGAATTTTAAATTTAAATTATTAAAGGATTGAATTAAAAAATACAGAATTCTAATTATATGAAATTTCTGTTTTCTATTTTGTACTGTACTTAGTTGTGAAGAAAATTTAATTTTTTATTAGTAATATAGTTCGATTTACATCAATAGTACTTTTTATTTTATACACTCATATGCAAAAAAACGCAACGGATAAATCTGTGGTCAAGTTTAAAATGTTATATTTTTCTATTTTTAGCTCTATTTTCTTGATTCTTTTGGCAAATTGTATATAAATATATCAACTTAAATTCATGAACTCAGTTTATTATAAACTTTAGTATTTGACTTATTATACAGGGTTAATCGAAAAGTTGTTTATTACCCTATCTTTAAAACACCCTGTGCAATAATTTCGTGAGAAAATTTTCTTAAAACATTATTTTTCGGTCAGAACCATGTCTCCTGAATATTTTGTTTTTTGACTCATGTCAGCACATGCCTTGGTTAATTTTTAAGGGCAAAATGAACTTGACACTAACATTTTACAATTTTTTCAATTATCGTTACTTTTTGATGTTATTCTTCATAATGACGAGGTGACTTTGGTGATTATTGTTGTGTGCGATTGAATATGGTTCTTAGTGTCGAAGGTTGTGCAAAAGTCATTGATCTTGTTGAAGATGGCCAAAATTATAAATATTCTCTTGGTTCTTGAAGAATGAAAACACATAACAAAATATATTTGCAGCCTCAGTAACAGTATGAACCGACGGCGACGTCTACATAGAGTTATAGCAGCCGGAGGAGGCAATACAAAGTATTAGACTATTTTTTACAAGTTTTTTGATTATTTGTACATTTGTTGTTATTTTTTTAATATCCTTAGTTCTGTTAGAGTTACTAACATTTTTTAAAACCAAGCCTGCATCGTTACTTTTTAACGTTTTCTAAATTTCAATATATAGTTCTAATCAGTATCATATGACATTACGACAATAGTCACCAAAGCCACTTTGTGATATTAAAAAATAACATCATGATGTAATGATAGTTGAAAAAATTGCAAATTCTTGGTGGCAAGTTCATTTCGCTCTTAAAAATTAACCAAGACATGTGTTGACATGAGTCATAAAACAAAATGCTTAGGAGATATAGCTCTGATCGATAAATAATAGTTTAGGAAAAGTTACTTATGAAATTATTGCACAGTGTGTTATAAAGTTAGGGTAAAAAACAACCCTTCAATTAACCCTGTATAATAAGCCAAGTACTAAAGTTTATATAAAACTGAGTTAATGAATTAAAGGTCATAAATTTATGTACAGTTTGCTAAAAAATTCATGAAAATAGGGCTAAAAGTAAAAAAATAATTTTAAACTTGACGAAAAAATGTTCCGTTGCGTTTTTGTGTTGCATTTAAGTGTATATAGAAAATAAGAAAGAGAAAATTAAAAAAAAATCGTGATCAAATTATTAATACATGTTCTACGCCTACAATTTTTTTTATTAAAAGAATAATAATATAATATGATGAAAAATATGTGTAAACTGTGTTTTTATGAATACATGATTTATTGGTATCTCCCTTGCGTTTTGTCATTTTTTGTTATAAATATAATAGTGTATTTCTATATAGTTTGTTATTTTATAATTATTGTTAAATAGATAATCAACTTAAAGTTAATAAATATTCTTACCATATTGGGTACGGTAACGACAGCGAACGACGTATCCTCATCAAACTCAAAATTGAACATTGGCAAGTAAAAAATGGCGAACGAAATAAAAACAACGGTTGATAGAAATAATATACAGTTTCTCTTTTTCAAATCTGGACCTCTCACACTCTCGCGATACGAACGATCCCGATCTCCAAGCTCGTATGAAGACGACGGACGATTTGGGCGGCTGTAATGAGCCACCTACGTTCGCGGCCGCGAATGATTTGTGCTAATGAGCGGCTCGCTCGGCTGCCGGTCTGCGGCGGTGGGGGGCCGGGGAATGAGACTCGAGTCCCTCAAGGTCAAATATGAAGGATCGTGGATGGACGGCAGGGATTCGGCGGCGCGGCTCGCATGACGATGGCTGCACGGACGTAGGCAGTGGCGTCGCTAAACGGTGTGAGTAGGGGGAAAATAGTCGATTCCAAACCTCGAAGAAGAAGCTTGAACCATTTTTAAGCGTTTCTTAAGTTAAAAAACACTCAAGTCTTTTTTTGGTTTAAATCATTTTAATGACTTAAGACATTTGATTTTATTGTATTTTATTGTCATTTTTTGACTTAAAATTTAAGTCTTTTTGAAAATTATTTGAGATTTAATCTTTATACCGAAGTAGAAAAAGATTTTTCTAAAAAAACTTAAATCCTTTTCTATTTCGAAAAATGACTTGAAATCAAATGACTTAAGTCATTAAAATGATTTAAATATAAAAAGACTTAAGTTTTCTGTAACATTGCAGCTTCTTTTTAAAAAAATAGCGCATAGCAATATAAAAAAGCTTCCAAATTTCTGTATGATTATTTTTTAATTTGTTTTTAATTTTTACGTATGTTATGTTTATTTATGTTATGTTCTTTAAAATCAAAGAAGCGATTGCCATACATTACTAACATCTACAGATGCATGAGCAATACATTTATTTTTATTAGATTGTATTAAAAAAGCCTCTTTTATTTTTCTTTTAGAGGCTATCGCTTCTTTCATTATAATTTTGGCGTTATTAAAATTTATTCTCTGCCCTGTGTCGCATGAATGCTGACAAATCTTAGATTTGTGAAAATCTCCCTTTCTTAAATAATCTTTATGCTCTTTAATTCGAACATTTAAGGGTCTAGATGTTTCACCAATGTAAAATTTATCGCATTCACATGGTATTTTGTATATTACATTTGTTGTTTGTTGTTCTGTATTCATTGGTTTAGTATGTGATAAAATGAATCTAAGTGTATTTTGTGTTTTGAAAGATGTTCGTATGTTATATTGTT